AGCCGATGTTCAGCCGGGGTTGCCGATATCGGACCGTTTGCATGCCGATGAGCAGAAAGATGTCGGTCCGATATAGGGTAGACCTTGGCCAACGTCGGGCCGATATCGGGTGCCGACCTCGGGCCGGTGTCCTGACCGGCAAATGTCGACATTGGGCCAGTGTTGGGCCGACATACTTTTGCTAGCTGGGTTATTAGGTCTGGAAACGGTGACGTAGCTACAGGTCCTGAAGATACATAGAGACATAAACACGGTTGGTGTCTCAGATATCACCAACACTCGCGGAGTTCGCTAATCCCGGAGATGAAGGCAAAACTTGAGACTGAGTTTAAAGATGCATTAGAAAGGGTGGGCGAACTCAAAGGTCACCAGGTAAAGTTGAAAACTGATCCTTCGGTTAAACCGGTTGCTCAGCCTGTACGCCGAACACCATTCGGACGGAGGGAAAAGTTAGAGAAGAAAATAGAGGAACTCGTAGAGGCGGACATAATAGAGCCAGTCGAGGAACCGACAGAGTGGGTCAGTCCTACGGTAATAGTGTCGAAAGCGAACGACGACATAAGAATTTGTGTAGACATGAGACGCGTCAACCAGGCAGTGCGGCGTGAACGTCACCCGATACCCACTACTGAAGAGCTGGACACAAAAAGTATTTGATGGACACAAACTGTCAGACAAGGGAGTAAATCCGACACGGGAGAAAGTAAAAGCGGTCGCGGAAGCAGGGTGGGGAGGAAATACCAATTTTGCATTAAAGATATTGTCAATGAAATCTTATAAAACGAACCAGACGAGTGTGACACCACAGACTGTTATCTGCGTGTCTATATAATATGCTATATAATTGCAAAAACATACCTAATTTGCATCAATCTTTTTTAAATATCAAAACCCCTGTAATACGTTTTGGGGCCAGCCGTTATTCATTCACATACCAAAAATGAGCAAAATCCGTTGAACCTAAACTGACTAATGGCAATTCCATTTTTTGCCAAAAAATTGCCGTGGCTCGACAGTACGTCGACTGGCGTGCTCCAAAATAGGATGTTCAAACTTCTCCCATAGCAGTAACAACTATACCCAATTTCCAACAACATGTGGGTCAAACGGTTCCTGAGTTATCGTTGACCGTAGCCAAATGACAAGTTGGCAATAGCTCAGCTTGACGATGTCAAGGTGAGCTAAAAAGAAACTGTCGGACTTGTTGCTGAAGTATGGTGATGTAACAATTATAGACGGACCTATTTGCAAAAACCTATTTGTCTTGTCCATAGACAAATCTGTGTATGATTTCAGGGAACAGTGTCAAGAAAATTTGGATACTTAATATTAAGCGATGCCATTCATCAACAGTGACACCAACGAAGGACAAGCAACATTACAAAAGCAAGACTGCATTCAGTGCAATGTTTAAGTCGCCATTGGCACATGCTATTCCCAGTAACGTGCCCGATGTCAGCAGTAGCGTTCATTCAGTAGGAAAGTTCAGTAGAGAATTTTCATTGCAGACAAGATTACCACTTGGTCACATTCCCCCACGGTCACTATTTCCTTTGGTGTCTGGTGATGTCAGCCCAATCTGTCCGGTTCGCCAAGCAAGTTACATTTCTCCACACCCTGACATTGATAGTGGATTTCCCCGACTGCTACCATGTCCCTCGATAGATGATTCTGAAGATGATAGATCGTTTGTCTGTTCGACACCAAAATCTGCTGACCAAAGCCATGTGCATGGCCATGGATATGCGACGCCAAAATCTGCTGTCCAACGCCGTGTGCATGACGACCATGGATATGCACGTACAGTAGCACTGTGACGTTGAAAGGAAGTTCGTTGAATAAATGATATAGAAGGAATCCAAAACTTGTGTGTAACCGGAATAAACTTTAATAACTGCTCGCACACAGTGTGTCCATCTTGCCCAAAGACAACAAAACGCGCACACTTCCTCTCGCGATCACCACCAGACTCCCGACCCCTACATCTCTCTTATCCCTCCAAAACCCCGCCATATTGTCGATTGCAAGGAGTTGGCATCGTTGAGGGATCCTTCTCTGAATGATGACAATAGTCCATATAACCCCTTAGCCAATGGCTTCGAAGTTTGTGCCCTCAGCGTGGGTACAAAGAAATACCTCGATACGATATACACCGATGTTGAAAATGGGGTTGTAGCACAAGTGTGAATATCCATCGGCCAAGGAGCAGGTAGATGGTTTGATATGCCACCACCCGGACGAAATATGGGGTTGTGATATGGGGTGGTGTCAAATGGTGCTTGGTGTGGTAAGTGGGTACCACGAAAAGGGGATGATACAATACAAAGGACCACAGCATGATTGAGGACGGTGCTTCAGGCTCTCTTCTCTTGGTAAATCAACCAGGAGTGTACCATTGTGAAGTCGCATACGGAACCTTAAAAGATTGTTCGAGAAATGTTCACGTGGTGAACGTCTCACAAGAGTCGATGTACAAGTGTGCCGTCCCTGATGTAAATATAGCGGACTTAAACATTGACCGATCGGCTCCACTAGGTACAGGCAGTTTTGGAACTGTGTATAAGGGCAGGTGGCTGGGTTCAACCGTGGCTGTTAAAGCCATACCCCTGGCGAAGCGTTCAAGAGAAAATACCATAAAAATGATTGAGAAGGAAGTGATGATCTCCAGTAAACTGCGACATCCCAACATTATGCAGTTCCTCGCATTGTCAAAAGAGCCGAATGCATTCTACTTGGTGTATGAGTACATTGATGGGTGTAATATGGAGGAGTTAATTTTCGATGACGAGACACGCAGGACCATGAATGTAACCTCATCTAAAAAAATCAAGATTATGACGGAAGTTGCGCAAGCTATCGCTTATATGCATGGCCTGAGTCCAATGGTAATACACCAGGATATCAAACCCAGCAATGTCATGATAAATCGTTCGTCATTGGTCGCAAAGGTGTGTGACTTTGGGATAAGCAGAGTCAGATCATTCCTTGCAGCTACTACCACAGTCATAGGAAATGCAGGTGGATCCCCGAGCTACATGGCCCCCGAATGTCTTCTTGGTCCAGGCAAGTCCACGGCGGCGTCTGATGTGTGGTCTTTAGGCATTACATTCCTTGAGTTACTTAGCGAGAGGGATGCCTGGGGTATCGATGGTTCCATGACGCCAATCGAAGACATCAAGCATAGTATGATGGAGAAGAGATCACCCATCAAGCCAACGGATGCTCCTGGCCTATCCAAAGAATTACGACTGATGCTCGAGAGATGTTTGTCGTTTCAAGCAGTCGACCGTCCAAGAGCTATTGAAGTCCTCCATACATTGAAGGCGTAGCCCTGCCTTACGAATATGCCTCCGAGTTTGAGACATAATGATGATTGTTACAGTAAGAATTCATACTTTGTTGATTTGTTCAGTATGTTGTATGTTCTAATGTTAGTACTTTTGGCATCTTTATTACATGTATTACGCCCCATCGGCCTGAAAGACATAGTGTTATAAGCTGGTTCTCTCTGAATTTGAGCTCAAGTAGAAATTAATGGCTATTGCGGTCCAAGCTTGTAAACTTTTTATAGGGGTGCCAGACTGTTGGTCATTATTGTGCTGATCAAAACTGGTTTTGACTTTCCCGCCATAAGTATTCGTTTATAAGCCAGAGCGATGCACAGATGACGTTTGCAACAACCATTTAATTCGTTGCATGTTTCAAAAATTTGTATCAAAAGATATACTATGGCCTATTATTAGTTAATAGTTTTTTAATTGTAATTTTTTTTCCATGCTTATTTCTTCTTACTGTGAACTGATAACACGACTTCTTTGTGGGTCTATACTTCGCTGATTGGGTTATTATAATTGGTCTGTTTGCCATATCAATAGCTTAAATGGACTTAGACCCGTTCCGCGAATCAATGACAGGTTGCTGTGAACGCACTTCTGTTTCAGAAGGTAAAACGTACCACCTGGTGATCAGTTGACCGTGTCACTGCTGGGCGACTTTAGCTGGGTTTTCACAGACTGGGTCACAAATATCCCTCTTTATACATTTACACAAATCTACTTAGGAAAACCCACTCGGACGAATATGCACCACCAAGCAATTGAAATTTGTGTAAAATCAAGAGAAACACAATGTTTAGTTTATAATGTTTATTGTAACTATGGGAATACATGTTGCAGATTGAAGAAGGTAATATTTTCATTTCGAGAATAATATTCACTAAATTTGGCTCTGTAACTGACTGCAATTTTATTCGTTTTTTAATTTTTTAATTTAGTGTATACACTGTTAGATAAGGTATATTTTACTTTATGTACTCTCTGTTCGTTTAATCTAAATGGCAAAGAACTTCCATTGCACCAAATTTCGACAAGTCACATTTGGAATCTTCTGTTGACCACATGCATAACGGATTTTGCCATATGAGTGTGTAAGGCCAAGGATCCATTCACACGACATTCAGGCGAGCCCTGCCGCAACCTGGAAATCCCGTGAGAAACGCGATTTTCGAGCGGATAATGCTAGAAAGCACTGTTCTTGGACCGGCCCACCGGACGAGTACAATGCTTTCGCGCGTTTGCTGCTCGAAAATCGCGTGAATGGATTCGTAGCCTTATCCTAAAGGATCTCACACACTTGAGCGTTTCATGCCGCGATAAATCGTCACGCTCACTGTTCGGATGCAGCGCGGCAGAAAATAGCAAAGTACACTCGGTAGCGTAAAACGCTCAGGTGTGTGGGAGCCATTTAAAGTCTATGGGAAACTAACCAAGTTTTTGTGTGATAGTGTCGGAGCTAGTATATTGGTTGCTTCAGTTCGTTCTTTCAAATCATGAAGTGTATGGGAACTATCCGACAATAGCTCTACATCTATATACTTAAAGGGAAACATAAACATGAAAAAGCTCCCAGTACTGATTGACTTTTGTGCGGAGCTTTATGGATATTGACTGAATTCCAACGCCAATCGACCAAATAGATCTGCAGCTTCATTAACATCTGACGGTCTGCGATGGTTCGGCAAGATCAAGTGTGCAAGCTCAACAAACTCCTCTGAGCAACCGTGAATTGGGCGATCTTCACCACACACCTGTTGGCAATAAGCAACGTCGTCTGCATTGCATGCGACTTTATGATCACGGGCACCACACGTTTACAATTCTCCTTAATCCCTAATACATCAATGTAGCCGCAACAAGATGCGCGACGCTGTGTCTAGATAGACTATCACTAAAACAACCCCTAGTCTAGCTCCACTGGCTAATCTATTTAAACATCTGTACATCACATGTTACAGCACATAAGGTGGTCATACCGTACATCAAGACTCAGAGCATGACAATGGACGAGCCGACCCTCGTAAACACAATCTCGAAGATGACCGCACCTTTCTCGACAGACCAGCACCGTTACATTTTCATCAGGCTTCGATTTTGTGCGATGGTGTTTTAAAGATGAGTTAGCGACGCGATGCAACCCGCTCTTCTCCGAGCTTGACAGGAGGTTTGGGTTTGAAAGCGTGTACACGTATTCGCAGATCTTTCCGTACGAGTGTTTGTTGGTAAACAGGATCGATGGAGGCCGCTAAATATGCCGATCGACAGGGCCTCCGATGGA